GGTTTTCTTTAACATAGTTTTTTTTTTAATATCTCATGACAGAATTCTAATAAATAATGCTGTATTACATATTAACTTACCAGAAGACTATATTCATAAAACTTTTTAAGAACCTATCAACCACACAAATTGAGTCAGCCCTAACTCACATATGCCTAGAGAGGAAAGAGTGGTAATTTCAACAAACGTATTAATTAGAACAGGAAAGGGGCTCAAGTCAATAATTGGGGGTGTACATCTTGTTTTTGATTCATTTTCAAATCAGGAAACAAGGCAAAGAGAAAGCAGAAAAGTGTATACCTGTTTTCTAACCATTTCCAATAGCCTCAGATGAGGGACATACAATTTGCTGCTTAACTCACAGTCTTAACAAGGTAGCACTGAATGCAAGGGTCTCCAACGACAAGAGCAACTTTCCTGCTAACTGCAACTGCTTTTGATTTATTTCCTCTGGAAATCTAAAAATAGTTAACACTTTTTGAAATCTCACTATGTTCCAGAAACTCTTAGAAGCTTTAATGCTCTTCAACGCTCTGTTCTCCCCATTTTACATGGGGGAAAATGAGACACAAAGAACTTAAGAACGATTATTCGTTTAGGCGGCAAGCAATTTGCAAAGACTGCTCTAGGTCCCTTCTGTTAAGCTGCTCACGAATGCAGCATCAATCAAAGAGACTCGACTCCCTGATTCTAATAGGATCACTCCTCACACTGAAAAGAGACCCTAATTTCCATACTTGGAAACCCACTTGTTGCCTGTGTGTATTTCAGGAAAAAAAAAAAAAAAGAAGAAGAAGAAGAAAAAACTCTTACATCCGGTCTTTGAACCGGTGCTCAGTGGTTCTCAGGCTTTGCCTCAGAGTTGGCTCACAAAGCCCACTACACCTTCAGAATGGGTAACGGAAGGAACAAACCTAGCCTATGTTACGTGAAAGGGCCCCCCTCTCAGACCTAAATAGATTCTTATTACATCAACCACACCACTGGGTTAGTTAAGAAACCCACTGTACCACATGACAGTTTCCAGTTAGGACATAAGACAGACAAAATAAATGTTGAAGCAAAAAATAATAATAAAGTTTCGAAAGCAATCCTTGGTCTGTAATAAACAGGCAAGAGCCTGAGCAGCCCTAGCTTAAATCTCTGCACTCCCTGTTCCTCCCACCCACCCCTATTCTCATCACCCACCTGAGGAACCCTCATGGAGCCCTGACCTTCACCCTCTCCAACTCTGCTCTTCACTTAGGTTTACCCACTCTGAAAGTCCTCAAGACACTCTCTCTTAATTTAAACTCCCTCTTCCTCTACTCCATTCTCCCACCAGATTGCAATCAGAAAAGGAGGCTCTCCCATGAAATGACACTTTCCTTTCATTAGATACTAAGGAATCACCAGAAGAGCAGGAAGGCTGTATACAAAGTCTTTTAAGTCCTTTTCAGTTGAAAGTTTATTATTAAGCACATCTGTATTAAAAACTGAATGGTAAATAGCTTGCTCTCAAAAATCTGCACACCACCATGCAAGTGGGATTGCTGGCCCCCTGGTGGGATTTAAAATAGTGTTGATGACCCATTACTCAGTCTCCTGTTCACTGACATAGGGCTGGTCTGAAAAAGAGGAAAAACCACCAAGCCTTTGTGGAAACTTAGTCACTTCTCTGTGGGTGAGGAAACAAAAAGAGGTGGAGAGTGAAATGAATAGGAAACCACTCAAAAGACCACTCAAAAAACCCTACATGCATAACGGAAGGGGGCTACAAAGTAGGTGCTATTTGTGGCCACACACCTCCTTCTTTGCAGATGGACACGGTCGAGTAAGTCAGCAACACTCTCTCCCACTTCTGCTTCCTCACTAGACTGAGTATTTTGATTGCCCCAGCTCCAAAAGACAAAAGTAGTAAGAGCCTTCTCCTAAGGCTGTGATTCTCAACCCTTCTTATTTATCTCAAAAAGAAAAAAAATTCTCAAGGTTTCACTTGGGTCAACACTGGATAATGTTCCCCATGGAAAAACATACTAGAAGTGTTAATAACATGTTTATGAGGAAAATTCAGACTATGAATAAAGTGAGAATCATTGCTCTCAACCTGCCCCTGGAAATGCCAGCATTCTCACAACTATCCCTATTTTCTCATCTGCCACAGTTTTGATTCAAGCAACTGAGCAAACGATAAGTGAATTGCATCTTATCCAATTTCACTGGTTTGTTTAATTAATCAAAAAAGTATATATAATAGTGTTCATTGCAAATAAATGCTATTTTGACTATAGAACAGATTAAAGAGTTTTTGTGAGATGACTTAGCACCTACACATACACAGTATTATTTCATCACCAAAAATGCTTTAACAGTTGACCAAATTTTAAAATCAATGAGTCTGGAGCCTCCCTGTTGGTCAAGGGATTAAGTCTCAGCACTATGAAGTTATCAGCAGTCACTGCAGCACAAGTTCAATCCCCCACCAGGGAGCTAACCCACATGGCACAGCAGACCTCTCCTGTCTCTCCTGCTGCTCCCCTCATCAGTGTATCTCAGTAGATCTGCCTGTTCTGCTCCTCTATCTCTGGGGAATCCTCTCACCTCTGGCCTATACCCAGAGAACCCTCCGGACCTCTGGCCTATACCTCAGTTCTTGTATGCATAAATGAATAAAAATAAATGTTTAAAAATATATAAAAATAAAATAAAGTCAATGAGTCTGTATTTAGACTATATCTGCCTGTATTTTAGAAAGAAGGCTTTGTTTTGGGAATATCAAATGAGCACAAGTTAGGGGCCAAGAGACAGAGCTGCAGGTATGCTAGTTGAGTGTGTCTGAACTCAAAGCCACAAAGGACTTTCAACATTAACTTATTCTTAAAGGAGGACTGTTTGTCAGTTGAAATAATCTCAGAACACTAGAAAAACTTTCAAAAGCACAGAAGGGAAATATACCTGTACAACCAGTTGGTATTTTAAGTGTCACTGTGTAGAAAAATGGAGCATGCCTAGTCACATTTAAGGCCACAGCATCTACAAAATGTTGCCAAATAATGGGTATCAAGGGCCAGATTGTCTTTGACTATTGAAATCAGGAAAATACCCCCTGCTAGAATGCCTCTGGTTGGCAGATATTTTCGAGAAAGGACAGCTGAGACCTGGGGTCATTTTAAGTCAATGGCTCAAATTAGTTGTTCTCCCACTCCCACTCTCCCTTTCTCCTCTTTTTTGCCACTTCCTTTGGCTGCATCCCACCTGCTACCCTAAAATATGCAGTGGCTTAAAGGTACACTCTGATGCACATCTTATTGCACATGCCTGTGGTAATTTTTCTCAAAAGTACTTGTCAGATAAAAATTATAAATTACTTAAAACTGCTGTTATCTATTTCATTTGGCTATTAGGGTAATCGGGATGTCTAACTTAGGAAGGAGAAAATGTCCCAGGATTCAATATTCCCCTTATTTTGTCTTGATTTTACTAACCAAAACTCACACCTAACTTGACTGATCATTGTTGACTGCAAAGAGAAATTTTTTTTTTAATTGAAACAGGATAACCTGGGTACAAAGTTAAGCTATAAATTCTGAAATAGAACATGCTTACTGTGGCTAACACACATAAACCATGTACAAATTTAGCAACAACTCATCATATTAGATATCGTGACCTTTGGCATTGGCATCTTTCAGTATCGTTCCAGATAGCCCTGGTAAAGATGGCATAAGTAATCTAATCCTCTAAAATCCATGTCCCAAATGGAGTAGCACTTCTGAAATAGCCTCAGCAGAAGCATCATCTTTTCACATTTACTTTTAAAGTACCAAGACAATATTTTAAAAGAAATAGTGGGACATACGTAAGCAATGGGTAAAGAAGAGTTTCAACAGCAAATCAGTCAATTAATACCTACAGCACACACATATTCAAGAATAAAAAAGACTAACACAACTCATTCAATACTATACCTCCCACCTTAGGAAGAAGCACTTACAAGGAGGTGTGTTTTTTGTTTGTTTTTTTTTTTTACTCCAACGCAGTAAATTGATTCTTCCTAATATCTGCTTTTAAAGTGATATTTCTCATTTGAGGCATGGAACGCCAAGCAATGAGTCTGACTCCACATCCATGTAACAAAAAAGAAAGAAGAGCAATAGTATATGACAGCCCATGGCTTAAAGTTTCTCACAAAAATGTGAGAATAAATAGATCACAGTTAGCCCAGGTACAAAGAGCTTCCCAAATTCAAATAACTCCATCGTTGCGTTCAACAGCCATCACCCAGCTGGTATCACAAAATGCCCTAATGATAGGGAAGAGAGAGAACCCGAGATTAATCCTAATTACAGAAGCAGCTCCCAACAATTCAAGGCCCCCTGCAAAAATAAATAAATAAATAATTCACCAAAAGTATTTCCTGGCATGAATTTGAACTATGGGAAGGCACAGAGTGCAAAAGGAAAAAATAAAATGAGAATAAAATAAACACTTTAAAGTATTTGGAAACTTCCTAACAATCTCATTTTCATGTCTTTGACCCATTAAAACTTCCACCCAGTATTAAGCAATACTACGTAAGTAACCAAGCCATTAAAAAACAAAACCAAGATTCAGACTTGGGCCTTTTGTATAGGCTCTTTCTTTTCCATTTCCTTTCTCAGTTGCCTGCCTTCTCATAAGACAAACTTTTGGCAAGAACATAGAAGGTATCCAGACAGTTGGATGAATTAGACAAAGAAAGTCTGAATGAACAAACCCTGGCACTTCCAAATGAAGCAGTCTTTTAAAACCAAAGAGCCAAAACAGAGGTTAAATAATGTAATGCTTTCTGATAAAATTATTTTATAAAAAATGAGTAACACATGGCTCTCAAGGATCATCGAGGCAGTACTGTAAATTAGTGTCTTTGAGATCAAGCTGAGACAGTAATTTCTAAACAAATCCATTAGCAGAGACATGTCCCATATACATTTCTTTAACAGATCTAAGTTTCTTATTCGAATCAATGTGCAATTACTTACTTGTTTTCTTCTGTAATGAGCAAACTGAGAGAGGCCGAGCACAGTTGCAAGAGCACCTCCTCCAACAAGAATAGATCCTTTCACTGCCTTTTGAAATGCCATTTTTTAGCCTACAAAGAAGAAAAAAAAACATTAATTGGGATTTTTATTGGATAACCACCCAATAATAAAAGGAGACTGTGAAGGTTATGAAACTGTTAAACTGAAAAAAAAAAAAAAACAAAGTAAGTTACTGACATACCACTTTGTATACCACAATTCAAAACACAACACACACACACACTTAAAAAAAAAAAAAAAAAAAAAAAAAAACACCCAGACAGGAGAATTGACTGTATAAAATTTACCTTCCAAAAGGAATTTAAAATGAAAAGCAAATTAGGAGATAATTGAAGATATTTAAACAGTACAAAGTCAAAAAAAAAAAAAAAAAAAGCTTTGTAAAGAAATGTCATTGTGTATCTGACAAAACTGCAAGCTGTACTTGCAAATTTGTTCATCCACAAGGAGGGCTGGTAGAAGTCATGACAATGAATGCATGCACAGGGTCTCTAGCAACTGCTAATTCAAACGGTGGTACAACTCTCTGCCCCATAACATTTTCCTCTTCCTAATGAATTCTCACTAGAGTTGAAAGGCAACACACATTTCTTTCCATCAAAGAGTCACACTTTACTGATAAAAAGTCAAAGCAAAGTATGTGCTGATCCCTTTCAAAGCTAACAGACTTAACGTTGCTGTTATTCCTTTCATTAAGAGAACTTTAAAAAGTGTTCTTCTAGCCGGAGTTGCATGACATCACAATTTGAAGGGGAAACCCTCCAGATCAAGCACTCTTTGATGTTCCCTGTATATTTCTAAATAAAGCCTTGCATTGTGTTAACGCTGACATTTTTTCTTCTCACTTGTTTTTTAAAAAAATATCCCCACTATCGGACTGATGCAATTTTTAACATTTTTTGAAGACATAAATGTTTTTCAGAAACCGTAAAAAAATGCATAAAGTTGAAAATTCCACCAAAAAACTTCTTGCCCACTGCTAAACCAAAAGATAACACAGTATATGATCACCAAAACTGCTGATACTGAGCAATTTGATCTGCCTGAGAATTTCATATACAATAGCAGCAGACACACCTCACCTTCCCGGGAAGCCACTACCCATTTTCCTGAATGGGTGGAGATCTGACCTGCCTGGACAAACACCCGTTATACTCCACAGTTATCTCATGACTCAAGACTTTAATATGAAGTCATTTTAATGCAAGATACCAAAGAATACATTTCAACATTTATTATGATACAGTTAAAATATTTCAGTCCATACTGGACTAACAGAGCCCATTAGCAACACTCTCCTAAATCAAAGAACTTTGAATGATAACTATGATTCTACAGAGAATTCATTTTGGAATACTTAAATATAGTTGGCATTTCTTAAATTTTTATTTGCCCTTTGAACTCATTCGTTCTTACAATTTCCTAAATTCTAAGACTCATATTTTCCGAAGATTTCACCCAAAAAATATTTCACATGCATGTTGTCTGATGCTGACAACCTCCATTTTACTGTTCCTTTTCTGCATCCACCATTCCCTGTCTCCCCAGTCATACAAAACAGTTGGAGTATGTTTGCTAGGGGTCCCTACTCATTGTTCAGTCGGCCCTCAGCAAAATCTAAGTCCAAGGTTGCTTTGAGAGTGAAAACCATAACCTAGCCAACTTGGCAGGCACCTATTTGTCAGAGTTCACCATCACCATTAGTGCTACTGTAAACGTTCACATAACGCTGATCACACAACAAAGGAAACCCTCTCAATAAAGACAGCATGCTGTTTCCAGGCTAACTGGGACCCCCTGATAATCAGGGAAAATTGAAATCTCGTTTATTTACCTAAACAATGTCTATGCCCGCCCCATATAGACAGCAGCCTGGTGGTCCGTTGGATTATGTGCTGTGCCTCACTGACTTTGGTTTACTATCACTACTTGTTGATAATGTCATTGATGACCTCACAAAGGATATCACACATCAACATAGACAACTGAGGGGTATTGTATAACACAGTCAAGTAAAATGTCTCAGTGTTAGCGCTTTTCATTCTGTCAGGTCAGTTTGACACTAGTTTTCTTAATCACGTAGTTTTCTGCATTCCCTGCTCACCTAATTGAACTGCTTTAATATGACTGGTCTGAAACCAAAACTTACTAAGGGACCTATGATCATTGGTTTTCTGAATGGGGCACTAATACTAGTGGAAAAAAAAGTACTAATATTCAATAATATGCAATAATATTGAATATGATCGATAAAAATTTCTTTTTTTAGAGATTTTACAAAATAGCCTATGCTTAAGAGATCATTATTTTTCCTGTGTCAAATCCATCTTTAAACACCATTTAGCTAGTTTTAATGAATAAATCACTCTGACAGGTAATTCGAAAACTAAAGCATTGAATTAGTCAATTTTATCCTGGCTATTCTATGATGATAATCATGGTGATTACTATCATTATTATTAATGTTATAATGCTAACAGTTGTCATTTATTGAGTATTCATTAGGTAATAGATACTGTGCTTTTTACTTTTATATATACATCAGTTCATATCACCATTACAACATCCTAATTCCATGAAAGAGGCAGGTGCTCAAAGAGAGTAGGAAATTTGCCCAAGATCATTTCCCAGTAAGTAACAAAATTACAATCTCATCTACGTTCTTAACCACTGGCTGGTTCTGTTCTCCCTTTGCTTTCAAAGGCAATTTCTCCCCAAAAGCCACACCTTATTTTGCTGTTAGTCTCCCCCTTCTCCTCAAAACGGCCCTATACTCAAACGCTCAGCCAAAGTGTACAGTCCCTAAGCAGTAGGGATTCCCTAAGATAATAAAGATGCGACTGGTAACCTTCTGCCAGAGAATATAAGAACTTTGTTTTAATGATGAAGACATTTAAAGCCATATAAATATAAACCATATACTTTGGGCCACTTGTCCCCATTTACACTCCATAGTGAGGAAAGCAATTTTCATAATGATTACCCAGAAGAAAAGACTCTATGTCAAAGCTATAATTAGGAAGTTAACAAAGAAGGGGAACAAAAATCTTTAATTTTTGCAACTAAATGACAGGGAAGGAGAAAATCTTCCAAAAACAAATTTATCTTAGTGATCATAGCCCAACATTCATGTTTAATAAACTATGAGTTCAGTCACATATACATTAAATCAGGACTAGCTCCTGCATTAGCACAAACCTAGTCCAGCACTTTCATTCTTACAAGAACACCTGCCCAGCTTATGTTTAGGAAAAACCTAAACAAGAAAAAGAAACCTAAACTCAACTAAATACACCTGTGAGTTTTTATCAATTGCCTTCAAGGAGTAACAATCTACTTTGAGGATTAAATATCAATTCCTCTCCATAAAGCACAACTAGTTAAAAGAGCTATGGAGAGGAATTGATATTGAGCACAACTAGTTAAAAGAGCTATTTAGTGTTATAAGTACTATGATAGACATAAGAACCTAAATAGCCAAAACGATGTTGAGAAAGAAGAAAAAACTGGAGGAATCATACTCTCTTAAATATTCTATGACAAAACATCATCATCAAAACTGTATGGTATTAGCATAAAAATAAGCACAAAGAACAGTGCAACATAATAGAGAGCCCAGAAATATGCCTGCCCATACACAATCAAATTAATTTTTGGCAAAATTGCCAAGAATACACAACTGAGAAAGGATAGTTTCTGCATTAAATGGTTTTGGGAAAATGGGTCAGTCAAATGCAAAAGAAAGTAACTGATTGTTATCAATACACACCACGCACAAAAAATCAATTCAAAATAGGTAAGACCTAAAATGATAAAAATTCTAGAACCATTTATTTTGTGGATCTGATGCCAAAACAAAGGAAACAAAAGCAAAAATAAACAAGTAGGACTATATCAAACTAAAGATTTCTGCACAGCAGAGAAAATCATAAATAAAATAAAAAAATAACCTACACCAAGACAGAAAATCTTTGCAATTCATGTATCTGATAAGGGATTAATATCCAAAAGAAATCACACAGCTCAATACCAAAAAAAGCAGTCTGCTTAAAAAATGCCAGAGGACTGAATAAATATTTTTCCAAAGAAGATATACAAATAGTCAACAGTAATATGAAAAGGCGCTCTACATCACTAATCATCAGGGAAATAAAAATCAAAACCAAAATGACAGCTATTAGAATGCTAGCTGTTAGACTGTGTATCATCAAAAAGGCAACGAAAAAAAAAAAAAAGATGTGTTGGTGAGGATGTGAAGGGAACTCTCGTACACAGTTATTGGAAATGTAAATTGGTGCAGCTACTATGGAAAACAGTATGGAGAAAAAAACAGAACTACCATACGATGCAGCACACTGATCCACTTCTGGGTATTTATCCAAAGAAAATGAAATAGCTATCTTGAAGAAATTATCAGCATCCCCATGTTCAATACAGCATTATTGACAACAACCAAGACATGAAAACAACATAAATATCCATCAATGAATGAATGGATAAAGAAAATGTGGTATATACTTACGGTGGAATATCACATAGTTATAAAAATAATAAACCCTACCATTTATGACAATATGAATGGAGTCTGAGGGCAGCATGTTAAGTGAAATAGAGAACAGACTGGTGGTTGTCAGGTGTAGAAGGTACAGGCACATGGGTGAAGACAGTTGAAAACCAAACTTCCACTTATACAATAATCAAAATAAGATAAGTTCTAGGGATGTATTGTAAAGCATGGTGATGATAGTTTAAAATACTCTATTGTATATCTGAAAGTTGCTAAAGAAAATTCACAATTATGTGAAAAGATAGAAGTGAACTAGAGTTATTGTGGTAATCATTTTGCAATAAATACATTGTTATATAAATGGTTACATTCAAGTATATATCTCAAAACTAGAAGAAAAAAGCTAGCTTCAATTATAGTTATGTAAATATAGCTTCAATTATAGCTTAAAAAAAGGAGACTTGCTAGAAGCAGAGGTAGGGAGGATGGCAAAGCACTGTCTCATACCATTTTCATCCACCAGAAGATGAAGGATATAGTAAG